GGCTTATATAGTATGCACAGTTAGCTAAATAAAATATGCTATCAAGTATTCAACAACAACAACAACAAAAACAATGTATTAAACTAAACTATTTTTTTTAGTTTAATTATTAATATTAATGAAATATAAGACAATGTTTTTTATTTGGTGTGATTTATCGCTAAAATAAAATCTAGTAATTTGTTACTAAACTTATAGATATTATTATTAAATGCATTTTAAAAATTCAAGTTTTCCAACAACAACAACAAAAATTGTTGTTTTGTTTTTTATATATATATATATAATTGTTAGGAGGGATAACAAAATATATTTATATTATATTATATATTATTTAACACAACATTTTTCCGCTAAACATTTTTACAGACATTAGAAGCAATATATCAACTATTTTTTGTTTTTTGTTTCAATTATTATAATAAAGGGTTTTCACAGGAATATCAATGTTAATAATAATAATAATAATAATTTGAACTAAAAAATTGCAAATTTATTACAAAATTTTCCTCTAAGTCTTCAATATATATCTATGCAATGAAATTAAATCGCTTATACAGTATATACAATATAAATATCTCTCTTAAATATCAAACAAATAATAAAATAATTGCATTCAATGCTACAAAACTTTTAACACAAATCTTTTTTTTTAAATACTTAAATATGTATGACTTAATAATAATTATGTTATTACACAATATAAATACAAAATAACAACAAAAAATAAATACTAGTTTTTTTTTTCTCTCTCTCTCTCTCTCTGTGTGATTGTTTGACTGATGATAATGTATTGTTTTAAATAAACTGTTTGTATCGCTATATAAGCTATAGGGAAAAAAATTATGCCAAATGTTTAATAAGGGAATGACACCAAAAAAAATTAAATATTGGGGGGATATTATATAATACTGTAATAATAATAATGCATTTTTATATATAATATTACAGTAATAATGCCAACAACACATTAATGTCATATTTTATTTTATTTTTTTTCTCTGTATTTATTTATTTATTATTTATATTATATTTCATTTGCACACAAACACAAAATATTATCCTAATATATCCTAACTAACTAACAGTGAGAAAAAAATCGCATATAAAATCATATACAAAATAAAAATAGATATGAATAATACATTTTTATTATTATCTGTAAATTTTATGCAAATTTTTTCTAACAGTTTTTTTAACTGATGGGAATAACAGTCCAAAACAACAACAACTACTACTACTACTACTACTTGATCGACAAAAAATGCTATTATTATTATTATTATCAATAGATGATAGAGTGATAGATAATTTAATGGTATGTTTTTATTTAGTAGACGTTAAGTTAAGTTATAACTATGATATTACAGTAGTTGTATTATTATCATTATAATAGTTGACGAGTGTTTAAATAGTGGCCACAAGTTATTTGGCAGTCATTGGCAGTGAATGTGTTGTCTATCTCTCTCTCTCTCTCTCTCTCTCTCTCTCTCTCTCTCTCTCTCTCTCTCTCTCTCTCTCTCTCTCTCTCCACTAATATTCAGTACTTATAATAATAATAATATAATACACAGGAATTTCTGTTGCCTTAAAACACATCTCACGATATAATGTATAAAAAACAGCTCAAAAAATGCTTTCATAATATATTGATATATATATAAGACATATACAAGTATTAGCAGCAAAAATAAAATATAAAAAACAACAACAAAAATGTTAAACACTTAAGCAATCGACTGGCAATAGTGTGTGCGTTTGAACACATCACCATTGAAAGAGAAATGCCTAAAAAATTATTTAAGGGGAACTGGAGGGGTAAGGGTAGGGGAGGGGGGTTATAGAGAACCATCACCAGAGAGCACAGTTTGTTTTTAGGGCTTCACATACAACTAAATGCCCAAAAGTTGTTAGCAATTATACTTAAAGAAACATTTATTTCTCTCTCTCTCTCTCTCTCTCTCTCAATAGTAGAAAAATATTATATATACTGTATATATATATATAATTTCAACTAAACACTTGAAATTGCCCGGGTCTTTGGTCATTGATTATCATTGCATTGATTATCATATAATATATATATACAATGAGAATAACAGGATATCAACATTAATATAAATTTAAATCTATGAAATAATATCAATTGGCAAAATATATTGCAATAATATATACCGTATATATATATATATATATAATTTATTTATTAGTAATATTAGAGTTTATTATTATTTTCATCATAATACTATTGCTTTTTTTTATAAATAGTATTTTTTAAACATAATTATAACAAATAAACATATTATATAACATACCAAACGTTAGCAAAAAAAAAATATTAGATTATATAAAATATTATTATTATGTTCACTAATAATAAATAATTTTTTACAATATTATTATAATACTTTTTTGACTGAAAAATATTATTATATTTTAATTTGCAATAACTTTTTTTAAAAAAAAACAATATCACAAATAGATAACTGTGTATTACACTAAAATAAAGTAATTGTGATATACTGTATATATATTATTTAATATAAATTATGATTAATAATAATATTATTATTATTACAATGTGAATCATCTAAATTATCAATAAAATAGAAATATTATTGCAAATAAACAACATTTTGCAACATATATATAAGTGACTATATTTGGTTTATAGATAAATTAATGCAATATTTACGTAATAATACTGTAGTTATTATATATATATATATATATATATATTACTTAAAATATATTTATTTAATATATTAACTAAATGGCTGGCAAAAAAACTTTATTGTTTGTTTATTATATAGACACATAAATATTACAGTCAAAATATAAGCATTTATATACAAAACATGTGCACAATTTAAGTAATTATATACAATATATATATCATATGATATATATATTTGTATTTTGTTTTCCTGGTTATTCAATATATATATATATATAACAAATATTCAAATTAAATTATATTTTTCTAGTCAACAAAAAAAATTAATAAATTATTATTATTATATTAACTAACCTTTATTATTATTATTATTATTAATGTCCTAGTTAAGTTAGTCTCAAAATAAAATAAAACACATATTTTAATATTTTTAAAAAAACATTTGCTTAATGTTAACTATGCAGACGTTTTTTTGTGTGGATATAATTATTTAATTTATTTAATTGCTAAATAATTAATTAAAAGTCACACATTATTATTATTATTAATTATAATAATGTACAGCATTATTGTGCAAAATAATAATAATAATTAATTATTATTGATAGCTATTTATTATTATTTTATATGTATATTAAAAAAATATTGTATAATAATTGTGGTGTAACTTTCCAAATGATATTATATAATATACTGTATATAAATGTCAATTAATAATAACATTTGTTTAACATATATGTATTATGAAATTACTCATAATAATAAATATCTAGAAAACTTAATTGAATTAAAAAATATGGCAAAATGTTTAATTAATAGTAAAAAAAAATTAAATTAAATACATTTAGTGTTTTATAACTAGATATGGATATACAGTATAATTATAACCAAAAATGTGTTGTATCTCTATATATATAATATTCAATATATCTAAAAAAATGTAATTAACATTTAGATTAATTTTTAACTTTTTTTTCTTTAAAAAACCACAAAAAAACAATACATTTGACTATCGGGTGGTTGTCTTTAAAAAAAATCAAACGTTTTAAATCAATTTGTAATGGAGTGAAAAAATTAACAATTTTTTTTAAACTACAGTATATTTACTTAATTTTTTTTGTTGAAAAAACAAAACAACAAAAAAAGTTTAAAACTGACTAAAATGAGAAAGTCGTGAAAAAATATTATGCAAAATAATATACTGTAATACTAATAATAATAATAACCACTAATAACTATAAACTTTTAAAGTAGGAAAATAATTTTGAAGTAAAAAATAATGAAATTACTTATATCGTGTTATAATAATAATAATAATAATAATGTTTTTCCTCTTAAATAGCAAATTGTATGAAAACATTAAATTTATTATATTATATATAACTTATAAAGTATTATACTGTATAAGGGATTGCGATATTGAAAGTTATTTAGTTATTATATACAAATCCAATGTTAAGATTGCCATTGAATTCAATGATAATTAGTGCGCGAATTATTGCTATTTAAAAAATCATTTTTCTTTAAAACGTTTCATTAATACTATTAATACCAACCAACAAAAAAAATCATTGCACTAATAATATCTATATATATATACTAATTGTTTGCCAATAATATTTATTTAAAAAAAAAAAAATTATATTTAGCGACAATTAATACGACAATCATGTAATTGCTATTAATATTATTACTGTATTATTACTGTATTATTAACAGCAAAATAATAGCTAATAAACATAATTAAAAAATTAAACAGTCTATTATATTAACAGTAGTTAATTGTGTTGATTATTGATTTATAATTTTTTTTTTAATATTATTTATCAGTACAACAAATACTACAAATAGTTATTATTTTAATATTAATAGTTTTCAATGTATTTTTTATACAACATTATGAATTCAACAATAAAAAAATAATATTCATAAATACCAATTTGTTGACATAAATATCATATTATTTATTCATATAATAAATACCATTAAATTATACCATTAAATATCTATATATGATATATATATACAGCAACAAACATTTGTTAAATATGTTATATCACTAGACATTTGTATATAAAAATATTTTTTGTCACTTTTATTATTATAATTATTAATACATGTGTATTAATAGCATAATATACAACAGTACAGTACATGTATTTAAAAAAAATATGTGCTATAAATGGCTAATAATATTTGAAAGTTTGTATTTTTATTTAAGTATAGTTTGCGAGAAATTAAATGAAAAATTGAAAATTTAATAAATAATTTTTTAATAAATATATATATGATTATATAATTAAATTTTAATTAAATGACTCACTTGTTTATATATATTATAAGGCGATTTGTAATGTAATGTAATTTATAATTTCTGGCTTCAAATTTATGTATCACTTGTTGCACATATTATTATACAGCCATTGAAAACCATATAACTATATAAAACAATTCAATGTCTTTTTTTAAAAATAACAATCAAACAAACAAACAAAAAAAGTCAACAAATGTTATAACAATTAATATTTTTTTAAATAGTCTTCAAACAAACAAAAAATGTTTTTTTAAAAACATAAATGTCTTTGAAAAGCGACGGTTAGATTAGTTTTTTTTGTTTTGTTTGTTGTGTTTAATTGACACAACTTTCATATAATAATAATAATTTTTATAATCAGATATTAGTTGTTGTTTAAAAACAAACAAAATTTAAAAAAAAAATAATAATGATTTTTAAAATGATATTATTATTATTATTACTAACAATAATAATGATGATGATGTTGTTTAAAGGCACATACAATAGGATAATATCATATGATATGATGATATAATATGATAGCAATATATATATATGATATATATATAAATTAGCAATTAATTTGATAATGATTAATGTTTTAGCGATATGTTTGTTATTATTATTATTATTAATAATATTATTATTACAATAATAATAAGTAATGTTATTATAATGAATGTGATAATTGTTTCAATTGTTTTTCAAATAGTCTTCAAATAAATCACATAAAAGACATATTAAATATATATTATAATTTTTGTTGTTGTTATTAAACCAATCAATTGGTTGTCTCATCCAAATAACAACATGTGATATACACACTCATAGAGATGATATCAATTGATTTTTTTGTGTTAAAATAAAAGTTATTTTCAATACATTATTATTATTAAATATATAAAACACACAATGCTTTTCAATGCTCTGTCAATCGTTAAACACTAAAAAAAAATTTGATTATCGATTGCATTAATTTAATGCAACAAAAAACAACAAATATAGAGATTATTATTATTATTGTTATATATATTTAAGAGTAATTATCAGTAAAACAAAAATTATTCACAACTAAGATATGTGTTGTTGTTATTAACTAAAAAAAAACTGTTAAATGTTTGGCTGTGAGAGAGAAACATTGGTGAGAAGTCAATCACATGTATACATACATACAGCCAGTGTGTGTATGTGTCGGCTCGGGCACGGGTGGGGGCTATCAGTCCTCTCTCTCTTGCACACTGACTGAGGGACTGGTGTTTTCAAACAGAGAGACGACGACTAAAAGGCCAGGAATTACATGAAATCAGTTGTGTTTTTCTTCAATACTCTTCTCTCTTATCGGGAGTTAAAAGAAAGAGAGAGAAGTTGTGCTCAAATGCAGAGCCCATACAATACATTACACACACATATATATATATCCGGTTGTGTGTTGAATACATTTGAAACATACAGTACTAGTACTACTATACAGGCATCGCATCACTCATATACACTATTTTAATATACAAAATAATACTAATGTCTGAAATGTGTTTGAGAGGCACACACTGTATGTATGTGTGTGTGTGTGTGTGTGTGTGTGAGAGAGAGAGAGAGAGAGAGAGAGAGAGAGAGAGAGAGAGAGAGAGAGGCAGAGTCCACTAAAGGGAACGGGAGAGTGAGTGTGTATATGTATGTATATGCAGAGAGCCTATTCCCAGACCTGACTGTGTGCAACAAGCATGTGTGTGTGTGTGTGTGTGTGTGTGTGTAGATACCAGTGCTGCCAAAATACCCACTTTATAATGGCTTACTATTAAACTCAATTAACTATACACTTGTGTGTGTGTGTGTGAGAGAGAGAGAGATACAGTAGTATTGTTGCCAATACACACACACAGTCTACTACAGGAAAAAGTTATCGTTTAAATGCCAATACAGAGAGAGAGAGAGAGAGAGAGAGAGAGAGAGAGAGAGAGAGAGAGAGAGAGAGAGAGAGAGAGAGAGAGAGAGAGAGAGAGATGCCATATCTCTATGTTCATGTAGTAGTAGTAGTACTGTAGTATTAAGTCCTCAGTTATATGAAACTATGGTAACTACACATTGGAGCAGCACTGGCAGATTTTTTTTTACATATACTGTACATATATTACACAACAAAATATAAGCCCAACCTTCCTCTCCAATACACTGATGAAATGATTTTTTTTTTATTTTTAAAGGTAACTGATAGACACATACATTAAAACAGAAAATTTCAATATAAATACATTATAATACCTAATACATGGATATATAATATATAAAATTTTGTGGCGCTATGCGGATAGTGCTATTGCTTTTCTGCAACTTGTTTTTCCAGGTAATACTCTCTACTACTAGTAGTACATGTACATGGCATACCTGTGCGCGCCTCACATGTATGTGTGTGTGTGTGTGTGCAATGCATTTCAAGGAATGTACTTTTATATTATATACATACATACATACAGTATATACAGGTGTACTGCTATTTTTCCCCTTCAAAAAAAGGCATTACCTTATAAACCCTTATAACAAGTCTCTCTCTCTCTCTCTCTCTCTCTCTCTCTCTCTCTCTCTCTCTCTCTCTCTCTCTCTCTCTCTCTCTCTCTCTCTCTCTCTCTCTCTCTCCTTTTATTTCATTGCCTTTAAGGGAAAACACATTTTACATATACGTATACAACAGTATAATAAAGTGTAATAATATTCAAGTCTCTCTCTCTCTCTCTCTCTCTCTCTCTCTCTCTCTCTCTCTCTCTCTCTCTCTCTCTCTCTCTCTGAAACACATACATAAGAAAAATTGCTTTCAAATTTTATTTTACATTGAAATTCATTTATTACTAAATTATTATTATTATTATTATTATTTAGTATTATTTGCCATTTGATTTTAATCCTAACTCAAACACACAAAACAATCTGCATTGTCTAACCCAATCTCACCCCTCTCTCTCAGTCTCAATCATGCCTTTCCTCCCCTCCCTTTTGCCCCCCAAACTAAATACCTGTAAAAATTTTCTCTTAGTTTTTTCATCAATTATTATTATTATTATTATTAAATAATAATTGTTTTGTAAATTGCAGTGAAAAAAAACTAAATAAACTGATTGTTATGTTTTCCTCTCACTCTCATTGTATTGTATTGTATTTGTTTTATCTTAAATATATCTTTTCATAAAAAATAATATAAGATATATTGATCACACATTTTCCTCAATTAAAATTTGTTTTAAAATATTTTATAATTTAAATAATTTTTTATTTATTAGCTTTTTGTTTGTACGATATTTTATCCCCACTCTCTCTCTCTCTCTCTCTCTCTCTCTCTCTCTCTCTCTCTCTCTCTCTCTCTCTCTCTCTCTCTCTCTCTCTCTCTCTCTCTCTCGACTAAATGTTAGCTAATTTTATGCAATAATTAAATGCAAATAAATAGCAAATTTATAATTATTTTGTTGTTGTTTTAATTTAACCTAAAATCTTGAAAATTACACACAAAAAAAGGTTGCAATTATTTTTCATTTAAATAATAAATTTAAATAAGTTTATTTTTTTTGTTAATTTATTATATTATCATTTTATATATATATTTAATATAAATTTATATTTATTGTATTTTAGAAAATTATAATTTTATTATAGACTAATACATAAATTTATTTAAATATATAGTTATAATATTAATATATTTATTTATATATGTAATGTATATATCTTTTAATTAGTTTTAAAGTTATTTTAATTATTATGTAAATTATAATTATATATATATAACTTTATATATATAATATTTATATACTGATAGGGCATTTTTAACTTTATATATTGTTATATAACTAACTATAACTATATATATAAAAAATAGTTACTTTTTTTTGCTTGCAAATAAACTGATTATAACAATTATAATAATTATTATCATCAATTAATAATACAAATACATACAAACTTCAATTCAACATTTGTTAAATAAACAAACAAACAAAATATATATAAATAATATATAAACACTTTTTTATGGGACAAAAAAATTAAGTCGATGTTAGCGACAATATAAAAAAAGAGGGGAAAAATTGTACTCAAATTTGCAATGAAATTATAGTTTTTTTGTGAATCTTTTTTTATATATATATAATAACTTGAAGTAATAAATAATAATAAGTTAATATTATGTGTAGTTTTTTTTGTTGTTTCTCTTAAATTATATATATATATATATATATAATCTTTCATTTAATTCTAAATAATTTTTGTTATCTTTGAAAAAAATCGTTTTTTTCTGAGTCTTTCGAGTCGTCTATCTTTATATTAATAATAATTTTCAAATCATACCACAACTCATCCATCATTTGACTCAAAAAAAACTTAAGATATATTTCATTATATAAACGAAAGTAATGTCACATAAAACTAAACCGAGAGAGAGAAACAAAAACTCATTTATAATACTTTTGACAAAAAAAAAAATAAACTAAACTAAAACCCCAAACAACAACTAATCCCATTCGTCATCATCGCTACCACCATCTGAGTCGCCGCCGCCATCGCTTTCGTCGTCAGTCCTGTTGATAGCTTTGGACCGTTCGTTCATAGCTCGCATAAGTGCCTCCTTAAGACCGCCGACTTCGTCAGCTTTTTTCGGTACTGGTTTCAGTGTCCGGTTCTCAGCCGGTCGTAGGCCGACTCCCTGTTTGATTTGGTTCAACAGTGCATTTCGCGGATCATCATTGGATGATGTATTGCTTTTGTTAGAATCGGAATCGGGTTCCACGTGCTGTAATTGTCGACCTTTTCTTATTTGATCCATTAGTGCCGATCGATTATCAGATACTGCCGGTAAATTGGACATTGGAGGTGGTGGCGGTGGAGGTCCGCCGCCGCCTCCTCCTCCTCCTCCTCCTAATACAGGCATTGGAGGTGGCGGTGGTGGAGGAGCACCGCCTAAAGGCATTGGCGGCGGCATAGGAGGTGGTGGTGGCGGAGGTGCAATGTTTGTTGTGGCCATAGGAGGTGGCGGCGGTGGTGGCGGCTGATGGGCAGGTGGAACACTGTTCGCAGGTATTGGCGGTGCAAATGGTTTTGGCGGTGATCGTCCGTGGGCTGGCGCCGATAATGCGTGCAATGTATGGCCGCCCATCGGCTGCTGCGATACTTGCTGTTGCGGTGTTGTTTGTGGTGGTAGTGATGGTGCGGACAGTTTGGCGTTTGGCGGTACCGACGGAATCGACGGCGGCGGACTCTTAACTTCTTGCAGTGCAGCCTCAATGCCGCCATGTTTTTCAATAAAATCATAGATAAAGTGTCGGGTGTCGCGATCCTGGAGCTGCTCTTTGGATATGCCGGCCTCTTCGAAAAACTGTATCATCCGATGGTCGACATTTTCCAAATCGAAACCCGTATTGGGATTCCAGCCGATATGCTGGACATGTTGAAAGTTGGACGGCGCACCGATATCACCTTTGGTCAGCTTTACCCGACGTTTGGTATCTTTTTTATTGGCCGACTTTTTCGTCGTCGGAGTCCATGTTGTCGCCGTCGGCGGCGGCGTCTGATTGGTGTGGTTTTGTATTGCCTGAAATTGTGGCCGATTTGTTGGCTGCTGCTGGAAATGTTGTCCTGAATATGGTTTAAATAAACAAAAATGGTTTAAAAAATTCAATATTATGTTCATTAAATATTTCGATGTGTGTGTTAGTGAGAGAGAGAGAGAGAGAGAGAGAGAGATAATTGATTAATCAATTTTTTTTAGTTTTTTGTGTCAATTTTGTGGTGCATTCATGCAAATAATAAGACACACCAACAACAACAAAACTCTTGTAGTTGTTGTTGATGTTGTCGTTTCTGTTATTACCGGCATTCACTCCTGTCTGTGTTGGCTGAATAGCTGGTAGTTGTTGTTGTTGTGCCTGATTTTGAAGCCTTTTTTCTATATATATAAGATAATACCAAACAAACAAAAAAAGATAATGTTGTTAATTAACAATATGTATTACTAAATATATAAAACAATTAATTAATTTATCACAAAAACATCCACAAAAATAGTGTATACCCCCCATAATAATTGTTATACTAAATAATGAGGTTTACAGCACACATCATACACACACACAGAGAGAGAGAGAGAGAGAGAGAGAGAGAGAGAGAGAGAGAGAGAGAGAGAATCAATTTATTATTATTATAATTATATTATTTTTTGTCAAATGATTAACTGATGGACTATTGATTTAGTTAATAGCAAACAGATATATAAGAAAAATACCTAAAAACACATATACCGTAATCTTATACAATAATAATAATAATAATAATTGTGTCTAATCTAAAAAACACATCAAATAGCTTGAGGACAGTTATAGTTGATTTTATATATGGTGTTTGGTTTTTTTAAAAAAAAGTTAGTTATTTGTTTTGCAATCATCCCGTTTTTATACATTGATTATATAAATTAAATATATAATAATAATAATAATAATAATAAATATAACTATGTTTTTTGGTCAAATGTTCAATCATTTAACCATTTATTGTTAGCATATATATACTGTATATATCTTGAGGAAAATATATAAATAATTAAATTTTATGGTTTATAACAAACAAACAAACAAAAAACATAATACAAACTAATGCTAATTACGGTAAATATTTAAAAAGTTTATTTTATAATATTAAATATATTTCTTTTAACAAAAAATATTATTTGATGTATTTTTTCTACAAAAAAAAATTATAACAAATCTAAATAAATGGTTAGTGAACTCCAATATTATTTTATTTATTTAAGAAAAACCACAATTATTTTGTAATGACTTATATAATAAATTTTTTAATTTTAATCAATAGATAATTTATATAAACTGTTTTAAATGTATTTAACTAAATCAAAATTATGGCAATTCAAGCCTTGAAACAATTTACAATTTAAGGCATATATATATTTTACTTTTAAAATATCTTTTCAAACCTAAATTTATTTTGTGTGTATAAAATTTATAGCCCTATAATATACTGTATATATAGTATATAATCATTTAAATAAATTAGAGAAAAAAAATTACAAATTACTGATAGATTCAAAAATCGATTACATTTTTATAGCGACTCTACTTATAAATTATATATATATATATATATATTACTATATATATTATTGTATATATACTGTATATATAATATTGTGGTAATGATTACGAAATGGTTACAAACAAACATATGAACAAAAAAAAATTATTTCAACAAATATAATGACAATTAAAATAAAAGAGGTTTATATTTGTTGTTGAAATCTTGACTTACATTTGGATTTTTTTTTAATTTTAAATAAAAACCAGGAGTTTAGCCTAAATTTTCACTTAATAAAACTTTTTTATTTAGTTTTTTTTCATTAACTATTTTTTATTTATTTATTGATTATCAAAATAAATTAACTAAAGACAGAAAAATAACTAATATTTTTAAAAAATCGATTTACTTGAAGACAATTATTTGTTTTTTACGCTCATTTAATATATATATATATATATAAACTTATTATAATTAAAATGATAAGAAAATTCATTTAAAAAAATGAGAGATGAGATTTGTGTTTTTTTTAAATAAAATAAAAGATAATAACAATAATAATTGGATCCAAACGTTTAACTTTTTTCAAATAAATAAAATAAAACAAAACAAAAATATCATTTAAATTAACAAAATTTTGAGATCATTTTTGATGTTTACTTAAAATAAAATCTCTGTATTTGTATCATATATATTGTTTTTTTAAACAAATATAATTATTTTTAATTAAAATATATAACCGAAAAAAATGTGTTTTAATTTAGCTAAAAAACTACTAGCAATCATAAGATAGTTTAGATAAGAAAATTAAATAATAAATTAAGATATATATATATACTTGTATATATTAAATATATATTTGTGCTAAAAATAAAACATTTCTATTAACAAACAAAATATCATTTAAAACAAACAAACAGATAATATCAATAATATTACTAATAATGTAAAGTTGAACATCAGTTAAATAATAATAATAATGAAAATATGATAAAATCGTAAAAATAATTGTCATATATATAGGAGACAAACCTTGTTTTTTCTTAAGTCTTTCATCTAGTTTTCCATGGATTGCATCCCTAAACTGTTTGGCCTCTCTATCGTCGGCAAAGTTCAGACCAGCCATACAGTCCTACAGTAAACAAATACATAATAATAATAATAATAATAATAGCATTAAAAATAAACACAATAATAATAATCACTACAATAGGTATAAATTTTTAGGATTAAATTACAACAATAATTGTATATTTAAAAAAAAAAACTTTTAAATATCAAATATATATATATATTAGACTATGAGCTCAAATATCAATTATAAATACTGTATATATATTTTTATAAAAAAAATTATTATATATTACATGAGCCTCGAAGGTGTGGAAGAAATTTCTGGGACACTTGTAATCAAATGTATTGTAGAGCTCCTGTTCCCAAACCAATTGTCGTTTCTGTTTATTTCATAATTTACCGATAATTATCATTCAAACAAAAAAACATTAAACAAACAAAACATTAATCTCAAAAAAATCCGATTAAATAATTATAATGATTGAAATATTTTTCAAAGATATATATATATAATTACATCAAAATCGTAGACTCGTATAAAATAGGATCTCTTGGGATTGTCTTTAACAAAACAGACAACACCTGTACACCGGATCTGCCATTTTGTATGATAGGGTGCCTCCGATAGCAACAGTTGGACCACTGATGTCGATAGTGTCTGAGCGATGGGACAATAATAATCAATGAGTAAAATATCATTAGATGACATCATCACACATGTTATCTTAACTTCACTTAAGAGAAACTGATCCCAAGTTAAGTGATCCAATCAATCATATGATATATTACCTGACATTTCTTGCCCAACAAACTGAAGATGAGTTCGTTTTCGTCTTTCGACAACAACATCGACGATCTGTTATCAATTGCCGGCTGATGTTGTCGATGATGTTGTTGACCACCACCGCTGCTGATTGTGGCCATCGATGATTGATTGTTGCTGTAAATCAATCAATGAATAGATGGGATGGGATGTGTTGTGTTGTGTGAATATATGGATATATATTAAGACAATGGGATTTAATAATATAATTAATTTCAATATTGGTTTCAAATGTCAACCAAAAAAAAAATGATAAATAAAACAATTGATAAAACAATTTATAAAACAATTTATAAAACAATTGATAAAACAATTGATACAACAATTGATAAAACAATTGATACAACAATTTAGGTCAACATTATTATAATGGCTAACAAATTATTATTATTATTATTAAATAACATATGATTTTAATAATAGTTTTTATTAATCAATAATATATTTAGAGACAAACAAATCACATGTTGTTTATTGGTTTCGGTTTTTTTTTAAATTAATTAAATAACTAAATGATAATTATTTTTAATTTATTATTAATATATTTGAAATCATATGAAACAAATTGATGGCAAACTAGTGGTCAAACAATTATTAATATAATAATTGATATATTGATGTCATCATCAAAATGAAACCAATTTGAAAATTATTATTATTATTATTATTAATGATTACACTGTTTATTATAAATTTTAATTATATATATATTAAATACTATTATATATATATATATAAATTAAATTATAGTTAACATATTACTAATAATGATAATAATTTAGTATTCAATTGAAAATTAATTAATAATTTGTTTGTAAAACTCATTCAATAAAAATGTCATGTGTTTTATAAAAATAAAAATAATTTACATTATATTTATTATAGCAGTAATAACAACACATTATAGACACTATTACTACACCTATTGTCTGGGAGTTTAACTAAAATAATAATATTACAGTAATAATAATAAAAAGCATTTAAATGTTTTAAAAATTTAATTTTTAATTATTAATATATATATATATATATTATTAGATAAAATTTATTAATAAACAAATATTTATATAAATTTATTTTTTTCTCAAAAATATTATTATATTTTATTTATTTTAATGTATTTATAGTTAAGAATTAAGATTTTTTAAATTATTTTTTGTTGTAATTTTCCTATTTTTATCTGTATTTAATATATTGTATAATAATTTTTTATATATATATTAGTATAAATGTTTAAATAATACAGGTATATATATATATATATATATATATGTTTGAAAAGTTAGTTTAGGTTTCCAGGTAATATCAAATTAAATAAATAAAACATAACAAAAAAATTACCCACATGTTTGAAATATTTTTGCCAACAATTTTTTTAGTGGCAAATATTTTTATGACATTTCAAGTATAATAATAATAATAAGTAGTATTGTATTATATTTTGGATTTAAGTTATCTTATAATATATTAGATAAAAAAAACTAAATACACATATTTTAGTTATAATAATAAATTGTATCTATATATATATATACATGTATATACTGTATATACATATGATACCACATATTAACAAATAAATAGGTAATATTAACAATAACAAAAAATGTGTGCAAATATTATTTACCATAAAAAAAGTTGGATGACTATTTATAAATAATTTTAATTAAAATAAATTAAACATTTATAATTGTCACTATAATAAAAAAAACTATATATATATGTAAAACTATGTATATTATATTTAAATGAAAACATAGTATATATATATATGATAATTTTTCAATTAAATATTTTTTGTTAAATTAATTTAGCAACAAAATTAAAAACTAAACAAATTATGCAATAATAGTTTTGACTATAAAAAACTATTAATATTTATCTATTAATTTAATAATAAAAATTTATTTATAAATAAATTATAAATTCCCAAAACAGTAATAATGATATAATAATAATTATATCAGATTTTAATAACCGTAATAATAATAATACTAATAATAATAACCGTTTTATTATATAATAATAACTTATGAATTTGTTAATTTGTTAATATCTATCTACTGGTATATTTAATTTGCCTATTATTAAAACTTACTAATTTGACTCATTAAATTTTTATTAACATTATTTTAGTAATAAAACTCGTTAATAGAAAATATAATTATTAAAAAAATTATATTAATTGACCATTATATGGAAAGTACTGTAATATTACTGTATATATATATATAATATAAGTTAACTATTATTCTGTATATATATATACTGTATATTAGTTTCATTTTCATAATTAGGTCTTAAATGAGCTAATAATTGAATTGATTGCTATCTAAAAATAGGTCTCAAAAAACAGTATGAATCTGAATGAAACACACAAAACACAAAAAATATTCAAAAAAATAACATAATTTTAATAATAAATTAACATTTTATGAATGAATAGCATTCAACAACAACAAAAAATTGAAATTATTTTAATTTCCGAAACCAACAACAAAAAACTAAAATTTATTATCTTTTTCTATTATGGGGTTTATGAATGTAATTAAAAAAATAGTTATGTAAATTATATAATACATTGTTTGATACACAGAAAAACATACCTAATTTGATATATAATCCTAGTTTGACTATAGTTATCGTTTTTGGTAAATAAAAAGCCCAATGACTCCAATACTTGATCACTTGGTAGTCGTATATGTGTTATAAAATCAGGTGTCGACACATTAAATGTCTGAAATTCATTCATTTTGTATTATTAATTAAAAATAAATATTTTCAAAAAAAAATAATTTTCAAAAATTAACTCTTGTTTAAAAAAAAGATTTTATTCAAACACTTAACTTATATACTTATTTACTAAATTAATAAATGAAATAAAATTATTGATATATTTGTTTTCTATACTATGTTTCTATATATTATTATTATTATACAAAATAAATTCTGGGGTCTAAAACAATCAGTAATTTTTTTTTAATAATAATAATATATTAAAAACAAATACATAGTTTATTACAAGTATAATAATACTACTAATAATAATAATAACTATTATTTACAAAATAATTTAGGTTATATTTACATTTAAATTAATGCCAAAAAAATAAAGTCGTTTTTTAAAAATATATATATATATTTATATAATTCAGAGAATTTTATTGATTAACTATAATTCTTATATTATAAATACTATAATTATGTATACAATATAATATTATATGATATATTATACTGTATATACAGTATACATGTATATATTATCGTTTTATACAGTAATTTATAATAAAAAAAAACCTAATGATCTTTAATATAATAAAGACAACTTATATTTGATGTAATTATATTTAAACAAATATTTTCAACTAAAATACAAGATTTTTTTTTGTTAATTTAAAATAATTACTTTATAAAACAAATACAATGTGTTGTCATAGAGATAAAAAAATTGATGTTAAAAGATATAAGCAAATTATTTTTTTGGTCTTATATAAGTATATATTATTATAATTTTTGTTATATATATACAGATATTATATAAGTATAATATTGTAGTAAATAATTTGTATAATAATTAAATTAAGATATTTTTTTGTTGCTTAATACAGCCAACAAACTGATATCAATATACAGTACACTTATAATGTATAAACAATTTTTTTTATTAAATTAATTTTCATGTTATTATTATTAACATATGAAAAAAATCAAGTTATTAATTACAATTAAATTAACTTTCTCTAATATATACATTGAAACACACTTTATATAATGTGTAAAAAAATTAATTACTGTATAAATCAATAATAAAATTAAAAAAATAATAATAATATTTGTTTTTTTTTGTTTACAATTTTTTTTCAATCATCTGAGTTATTAAGAGTTTCATCAGAAACTGAATTTTCATCAATCAGTGATAATAATTGATGACTATATCGTTGAAATAAATAAATAAAACAAATTGATAAAATCAGTATAAATAGACCAGAAATCAATGTTAACCACTGGATAGTCGGCGACGACATCAGAAATAGTCGGACACTAATCAGCCGCCGATCGTAATGACTTTGTGTCCACGAAGAGTAGTGGTCACTATTTTGGCCGATTTTTAAACTATCGGCGACACCGATAAATGGCGGCGAAACTGTTTTCTCAGCCCATATCCTATTCCTTGAATATCTAATACATGTGCCGTTAAAATCTGGACCCGGAATCCATTTATACTTGAATTCCTATTTAAAGAATATTCTGTTAATATACTGTATATATATATATATATATATATATATATATATGTTTTTTCTGTTATTTTATTATTATTATATAATTTATATGTCTATTACTACTACTAACAGTCTTTTCTATACTATTAGATGGCTTACAATCGTCTTCATTGGTAATGTTTGCAATATTTTCACTGGAAAAGTATGACAACAATTCAAATACTGTAGTGATTAATGAATTTTTGCTTAAATAATAGTAATCTTTTCCCAATTGGTTATTCATATTCATCTTAGTCATAGCTGTCGACAATAATAATAATATAAAATATTATATATATATATATTTATGTGAAATATATTGATTGATAAAATTATAGTAATCTTTTTTTCACAAATATTGAAAACAAAAAAAACTAAACTTACATTTTTTGTTGTATATCTGATTAAATAGCGTACAGTTAGTATCAATAAAATAGCAATCAATTAGCTGATTGACAATAGTTTGATTGGCTTTCACTAACAACTGTTTTGTTGTTGAATTTGTTGTTTGATTTGTATGTAAATTATTAGTAATATTAATATTATTAGTAGTAGTTGTTTGCATCAAATCATAGACAGTATTTGATACTATAGTTGAAATTTGTGTCAAATGTTTGACTAAATTTCTATCTGATTTGTTTAGTCTATGAAAATCATCGTAAATACTATTATAAAATTTATTACTATATTCTCGCTGATGGTTAGCTAAGACTACGCCAACCAGTGATGACGACAAGTTTTGCTTAAGAAAACTTTGTAGAGACGATGGAGGAAGCGGTTGGCCATCGATAACACTTTCAACTACCATATCATCCAATTGATCGGCATTTGATTTAATCAAATCAATCAATTGGTTCATCAATCCATCATCAGTTGAATAGACGTTTTTATGTATATATATTGTTTGTTTGGGATCTGCTGTTGTATTGTTGCTATTATTGTTTGTTGAATGCATTGCCAATTGACTTAATTCAATAAAATGTGACAATTGTTTGGATCTTAAGCCAAAAATGCTATTTGAATCCAATTTACTATCAATATTGTTGTTGTTTAATGACATGTCATAAACCGTACGACTGGATCCAATATAATCTAACGATTCGCCATCAAAGATGGCAAATACGACTGTCCTTTTCATTGCTGTTGTTGTTGTTGTTGTTGTCGGTTTAGTCATCTTTTGTCGGCTAATCTTATCTTCATCACTGATAATTGAATTTTTATTATTCAATGCATCATTCAATGTATGGACAATCGACAGCATAGTTATTAACGATGTTAGTACTGAGTCTGCACCGGCACCAGCGGCACCGGTACCACCAACACTACCAGCACTGTTAGCAAATAGTGACAATGTATCAAATCTGGATGCGACCAACACTACTGATTTCATATCAGCAATTGATTTATTATTACTACTAGTTTTCTGGTCAATACTTTCTAAACTGCTAAACAAATTGAGGACTGTTTCGGGACTACAAAACAGATCTACAGGTATTGAATTAAAATTAAAATAAAATTAATTGTTTTTTTAAATAATATATATTATATATATATATATATATTTGGTATACTTTTCTTGAAAATTTTTATCGGATTATTGCCAATATATGTCTTTCGTATACATGTCGGGCCATCTTTAGCACCAAACATAGCCGACTTGAGTTCAATGGCACAAACAGGCCAACCGGTGCCGTATTTTTCAGAGCACTTTAATTAATTAATTAATTAATAAATAATAAACAACAATAAAACAAACAAAAATCAATTAAAATATAAAAATCTAATGAAAAATATATACTAATGTATTACTAATTAAAACAAAACTTTTGAATTACATTATAAATAGCTGTTATATTAGTTTGATTTTTGATAAGAAATACTGGAAACGGCCAGTCGTTGAACATTAGATTATGATTATTATTATGATTATGATTGTCATTATCCATACGATTCCATCTAATTGTTGAACAATGACTATAATTGCCATCATTTACATAGAGATCGTGATATTCATTAGGACACGACCTATCAAAGGAATGGTATCCCAATTGACTGTCAACTGTCTTATTGTCCAAAATTAATATACCAGTCAATCGATTGGCATTTTGTTTTAGTAAATCAAATGTTTTGCTAAATTAATATATAATTACAGTATAGAGTGTAATAATAATAATAATCAAAATTATGTGTGTTATTATTTAATAGCTATTATTAAATATAATTATTACAAATTAAAATGTTTAGCAGTCATAACTACTATATATGGACTATGTTTGCCAAATTTGATTACAAAATCAATGTCTGAATCGTTTTTGATGATATGTACGGCACCGACATTACCACTTTCATGTGCTTATGTATATACAATATATATTAAATTAAATTATATTTTTAATTATTATTATTTTTTTAATATAAAATGTATTTTTTTACATACATGAGCATCCAATTTGATGAGTTAAATTGAATCGTCTAATACAATAATATTTGTCCTCTAATTTTGTATATATTTTCTCATATATTGTATCACTATTTGCTATATTATAGTATACGGTATTACAACAGAAATAAATTAGAAATTTATCAAACAATATATACTGTAATTATATTTATGTAGTTTGTATTTATTTATTTTTTGGCAATAATTCATTAGAGATTTTAAATATATATATATATAGGAATAATATATTACATACAAAATGAAATAGTGATGAATAGTATAGTAATATTAATCCAATAGATATCCATTTTGAATAAATAGCTAATAATTACAATAAAAAAAATATTACAATTAATTAATATAATTAATATAATATTAACTTATAGTCACACACGAAAAAAAATTATATTGAGATTATAATATATAGTGTGAATATTTGATATATTTTGAAAAGATTAAACGTTAGATATTTTTTGTGTTTAAAAGTTATATAATATCAACAATTTAATTAATTTGTTGCTAATTAGTGTAAACTTATATTATTATTATTATTTGAAACATTGTTTAATTAATTAAATTATTATTCTCGTGAAAAGCCTTTTTGAATTTAAAATTATTTTTTAAAAAAAATAAAACATTTATTACCTGTAATTATCTATCCATTATATAATAGCAACAAAAAAAATAATTTATTTATTTGTTGAATTTAATTAAGTATTTAGATTAGATTATTATTATTATTATTATTATTATAAGTTATTTAGCATTAGATTTGAAAACTTTTTGTTTTATTTTATTATAATTACTTTCTCTGTGTGTATATTAAACTTTAACATTTCAATTGATTGTTTAAAATTATAACTAAAATTAGCTATTTAACATTTAAAAAAAATAAAATACTATTTAAAGTATATATAAATTGAGACATAATCAAACAATTATTGAAGAAATAACAAAAAATAAAAATTATTTAAATCTAAATCTAATTTTTTCCAATTTATTTAATCTTATTTTTTTTATAAATATATATTTTTTTGGGTAATATAATAATGTCAAAATAATTTAGTATTATTACAGTATTATTATTATTATTATTTAATTCTTATTTTATTAGATCTATCTTTAAATAAACTTAAACTTTAAACTATTTCATGAATTATTAAGTTATATATACAGTATATATGTATATAAATTGAATAAAAAAAACTGCTTATTATTTTTTGGTGCGATTACACAATTTATCAGAAATAAAAATAAAATAAAATGATAAAATAGGATAAATTTTTTAGATAATAATAATAATAATATTCTCTACCAATATATTAGATTACAATAGATTAATATATACAGTCTATTATTATTATTATTATTTACTTATTATTTTTGAATTATTATTGTCATTATTATAAATATTAATATTATTTAACAGTTGAACAACAACAAAAAATACTTAAATAAATCCTACAGTTTATTATGAAATGTACTTTTTTTAAAAAAAAAGATTATGTATTTTCTTAAAATAAATAAACAAAACAAAAAAACATTTTTATTCACAAGTTTTCAATGATTTCAATTTAATAAGTATTATCTACAAATAAAAACAAAAAAAACAACATAAATATTATATATTAAAATTATAAAACTATAATAATAATAATACTCAATTATATTTTTTTATTGGAAAATTTAATTCATATTACTATATATTTAAATTGATAATATTTTTAATAATAATAATAAAAAAATAATTTTCATTATTTCATAATTATTTATAACTTTATATATATATATATATATATAGTATATTTGCGTTTTACGTAATACTTTATGCTTAATTAATTAAATTAATCAAACATAATAATAATAATAATAATACTATATTTTTTAATATAATTACTTTTTGTGTGTGTATGTGTGCTATATTTAACCTGTTAGATACAGTATAATGTAATTTATACGTATTATTTATTATACAGTAATATATATTTATATTTATTATTTTTTAATGTTATTTTATTCAATCAGCTAAACTATAATATAATATATATATATATAAAAAATAATAAAATTTATTACAACACACAGATATCTATCTATGCTTTTTACAAATAAAGTCTATATAGAGTTACATAATTTTTTATTAAATACAACAACAAAAAAAAGTTATTTTTTTATAAGTCCTTTGATTGTCAAAATTAATTTCAGTTTAATTCATATTATATATCATCATATGATATAATAACCCATAAAAGAGAAAGAGAGACTCAATAATCGTAAAAATAATAATTACCAGAATTAGGACTTGAAATACAATATACAGAATATATATATATACCGTATATCTAGTATACACTACAAACATAATTTAATTTCGTATCGCAAAAATATTGATATCATTAACTTTGAACTTTAATAACTTTTTTATTTTTTAACTTAAATAAACAAATTTGATATCAAATGAAAGAACACTTTTCAAAGTTTATAAGTCAATAAATAAAATTGCATTAATTATCATATTATCTATAAAAAAGCATAAGAAGTAAGAAATGGTAAAAAAAGTTATGTACAAAAAGTATTTTCGTGAAATCAAAACTTTAAATATTATTAACAAAATAAAGCTATTAATTTAGTAAAAACAATATTAATATCGAGTATTGCCTCCGTTGGCATCAATCACAGCCTGCAATCTTCTTGGAACACTTTGGATCAGCTTTTCTGTGACTTCTTCAGGTATATTTTTCCAGACTTTAAATAACGACTCTTTAAACGCAGAAAAACTTTTTCTTTCGCTCTTTGGCACACGTCTGTCCAATTCATCCCATAGATGTTCAATAATATTGAGGTCAGGGCTCTGTGGCGGCCACTCAAGTGTCTCAATTTGATTGTCAGACAACCATTTCTTTGCCAATTTTGATGTGTGCTTTGGGTCGTTGTCCGCTTGAAATAAAAAATCATCGCTTATTTGTAGATCTCTGGCACTCTGAAGCAAATGTGGGGTCAAAATATTGTTAACGTAAATGTAGCGGTCCATAGTTGATGGAATTTCGACCAAATGGCCAACTCCCTGGCCTGTCATACACCCCCATACCATAACTGATTTCGAGTGCTTCACAGTTGGACATATATTATCAGGATTAATGCTTTCGCCTCTCTTTTTAAACACTCGTTGGCGACGTTTAGTACTAATAATCTCAAATTTTGACTCATCTGACCACAAGACCTTCCTCCAGTATGACATAGGCATCCGGATGTACTTTCGTGCAAAGTCTAATCGTTTTCTCTGATTTGTTAGGCTTATCATTGGACGTCTTCGCGCAATACCACTGTAATAACCCATTTCTTGAATCCGGTGTCTAATAGTGTTTCTGTGACACAAAATGTTTCTGGCGGCCAACTCTTCCTTAATCTCATCGGTGGTCAACTTCTTATTTTTTGCCACAATTCGACTCAATATCCTGTCCTGTTTAGCACTGGTACATCTTTTTCGACCACTTCTTGCGAGATTTCTAACTGTCCCGTACTTTTCGACTTTCTTTACAATTGATCGGACAGTATTATCAGTTGTTGTAAACAGTTCCGCTATTTTTGCGTATGACTTTCCGGTGCTGACTCTCATATCATACATTTGTTGGCGAATTGCATCTGAAAATTCTTGTATTTTAACCATTTTTATGATAATCACTGCATTTACTGTTTATTTACGTGTATTCAAATTAATAACAATGCATTGGAATCAATTGGTCCCAACAATGTGTCTGAAATCACGCGCGTTTTAAAAACACGAAAATAATTTTTGTACCTAAATTATTAACACCTATAACTTTACCTTGATATATTTTGTTATTTAAACCATTGTTTTGACCATCTAGTATATCAATTTAATTGTGATTTATTACTCTATTATTTGATATCAAATTTGTTTATTTAAGTTAAAAAATAAAAAAGTTATTAAAGTTTAAAGTTAATGATATCAATATTTTTACGATACGAAATTAGATTATGTTTTTAGTGTATATGTAGTATTAATATACAGTATATACACACATATTAAAAAAAACTATTTTCACAAATAATTATAATTTATCGACAATTTATTTTGTATATATATATATATATATATGTGTGTGTGTGTGTATTAATTTTAATTAAATTTTTGTTGTTTCGCTAATTCAAAAACACTAAATATTAATATTTAATATATAAAAAAAATAAATAAAAAATAATCGGTCAAAATGATTATTAATGATATTATATAGACTCAAAAAAAATATATACAATTTAATTAAATTAAAATAATTAATTTTCTTATATTTGACTAATATGTATAAATAAATATATATATATATATATATATATATATATATATATATATATATATATATATATATATATATATATATATATATATATATATATATACAGTATATATTGTATATAAATAAAATTTATATAAATTTTTATACAACAAAATATTTGTTTGTTTTTCACTCTATAATATCATAATTAATAACAAATACAACAACAAAAATATTAATTTTTTTTTAAAAATAAAACATTTTATAACAATTTTGTTTGTTTGTATTAATCCTAAAAAATTCCTATTATTTTCAATTATAATACAGTATTATAAATACATTATAAAACTAAACGTTATTTATTGCAATCACATGTAATAATAATAATAATAATAATAAACAATAAAATAAATAATTATTATTTCGACGGTTAGTATCGTTTAGTAGTTGTCTTCGCTCAAGAAGTAGTTGATCCGTGACTAAGTATTTTGGATCCAATCAATCACTATAAACAACAACAACAACAATGAATCCATCGTACGATCCGATGATGCAATCGCTGAACGAAAGGAAACGTCTGGAAATGGAGGCCGAAATGAACAGGTCTTTCATATCATATCATATATGGTGACCATCGATGGTCATCATCATCATCACCACAGTTACACTACTGATGATATCTATAATTAAAATAACTTTTTTTTTTGTTACATTGCAATTGACTATAGATTTGAATTGGAGATCAGTGCCCGACAACAGGTCTACGATGGTGGCCATCATCATCATCAACAACAACAACAACATCCACACCATCATCACCACCAACAACACCCCCATCCCCACCACCATCAACAACAACAACATCATCATCAACAGCAGCAGCAACAACAGCATCATCCACACCATCAGCCGATGCCATCAGCGGCTGGTGGCGGCGGTCCCGCAAACTTTCAGTTTATACCGCACTCAATTCAAAGACAATTGCCGAGGTCGGGAACACTACCGCCGCTACCTCACCATCAGATAAATCCGATGCACATGTCCTACGAATCGCAGACCAATTGTATGATTATAATAATTATTATTATTACTATTTTTTTAAACAAAACTTTACACAAATATGATATATTGTTATCTTTTTTTTGTTGTTGATGTCATCGACGGTAGCTATGAATCAAATGAAGAATGACTATCATCATCAGCAGCAACAGCTAAATAGTGGTATGTCTACACCGAACACTGGTGGCGGTGGTGGTCCCAGTAGTGGCCAAACGGGTAACAGTGGAGCCGCCTCCTCCTCCTCGGCTGCCGGTACTTCAAAAAAGTCAAAGACATCGTCGACAGCTGAGGGCGGTAAGGGAGGTAAGAAACAAAAGAAACTGTTGCGTATGGCCGGCGGAACCGTCTGGGAAGATAACTCGCTGGCCGAATGGGATACCGAAGATTTTCGACTGTTTTGCGGCGATCTCGGCAACGATGTTACCGACGATGTCCTGACCCGGGCGTTCAGTAGGTTTTCATCGTTTCAAAAGGCAAAAGTCATTAGAGATAAGCGAAGTAATAAAAGCCGTGGCTATGGTTTTGTCAGTTTTAAAGATCCGCAAGACTTTATCCGTGCCATCAAAGAGATGAATGGTTTGTCATATATTTTTTTGTGTTGATTTTGATTTATTTATCTATTTATTTGTTTGTTTGTTTGTTTGGTTATATAATAGATGAAAGAGAGTGACTGAGAGAGAGAGAGAGAGAGTATTATAAATGATTTTTTATTCACATTCACACCATTCATATATATATATATAGTAGACTATATCATATACAGTGTATAATATGTCAATTCAATAGCTTATGTATATATTATATAAGGTTTATTGTATATGTTATACTATATAACAGTGTATAAAAGTGTAATATTATACACTGTTGTTATTTGGTGATATCAATTGGATATTATTATTAGTATTAAGGGTTTTTTTATAGTGTGTTTTATCCAAATTATTATTATATTAAAACGGTTATACAATATAACGGACATTAGCAAACATACCAAACCCTTCACAATAACACACACATTGATCTCATTAATATATATTACTAATACTGTATATAAAACTATTAAAACTATACCGGTATATAAACTTTTATATATATTGTATATGTGTTTAATGTTAAATGTATTGAAATTTATTTATTATACTTGTTTAATGATCCAACTATTACCGTAATTATAGTAATAATACATTGATTAATGTATAATGTATTAAATTTTTAAAAACAATTTTTGTTGTCTGTGAAATGTTTGAAACTTTATTTTTATTTGTGTTTTATGATTAACAATTTAATTCATATTATAAATATTGAATTATTTTGTTGTTGTTGTGTTAAATAAATGTTAAATAAATGTAATATAGGTTTTACAATATATTCAATGAGTTACTACTGTAGTATATTAGTAGTACAGTATAGTAGGAATAATAATATTTTATTCACAATAAGCATAATTAAATATATTTAATTATATATTTTTAATTAATTAATTAATTAAAAGCTAATATACATAATTGAAAATTTGTTTTAATAATAGTAACATAGATTTTTAACATACTTTTTTAGTATTAGACATCAATAATAATATTATTATTATATAACAATAGTTTGAAACAATAAATATTTATTAACATATAATATTATGTGTATATTTATATATTAATATATATATATTAAGATATATAAATAGGGTAGATATAGATTATCTATATATTTTTATTATATTTGTGAAACAAATATGAAATTGTTTAACAACAACGACAACAAATTTTTAGATTAATTAATTGAATATTAATTTTTATACAATTTATTATTTATAATAGATTATCATTTTTTATATATAAGATTTTTGTTTTTTTTGTGGTTAGAAATTATTTTTAAAAACTATATATACCGGTAATAATAATATTAATAATTTTGTTTTAAAACTAAACTATTTGTTTAATATATGCCAAAGAGATGAGGTACAGACCATCGTCTACCTGTACCAGTAGTGTATGAGCTATGCTGACGGTGATGATGACGACTATTTTGTTGTTGTTGTTGAGCCATCACCTCTTGTCCACCACCAGTGTTGGTCTGTTGTTGTTGTTGTGCTGCCATACTATTCAGCAATTGTCTGAAATGTTGACTGGTTTTAGCTGGTGATGATGATAATGATGATGTCTTCGTTGATGATGATAATGATACCGTTTTTGGATCAAATTTTGATCCAATATTTATATGCGAACCGCCCGGTCCCCAGCCTTTCGATAGAAACATATCGCGTTTACTGTATAACTGATGGCCATAATTGCCAATTTTCGGCTGATTTTTTAACAAATTAGACAATTGATTACATGTTATGCCATATGATTTTGCCAATTCATAAGCACAGGGAGGCTGTTGTTGTTGGTGTTGGTGTTGGTGTTGTTGGTAGTGATAGGGAATTATAGGAATATTATTATCCATAAGATTCTGTGATAGGTATACATCCCGATCACGTTTACCGTTACTGTTTTGTACGACTCGTCCCGTTTTGTAGCCTTCGTGTAGAAAATCGGTTAGTGCATCGTAACCGGGTATTTCGGGTGACCACACATTAAAGTAGACTGTATGGGGTATTATCTTAAACGGTTGTGTATTATAATAATCATAGTCATACTCATTGTCTACCTGTTGTTGTTGTTGTTGTTCACTATTATCATTATTATTATACCAATTGTTGTTAAACTCGATGTAATCATCATCGGTAAGCAACTGATGGTCATTATTATTATTATTAATCGGCTCGGATTCATGCGGTGCCCCGGGTGTGGTCATACCTGTTGATGTTGACCTGAGCGCCGATATGTCAATGTTAAGTGTTTTTGCTGGCGATTCCAGCGACGATGATGATGATAATGAGGATAACGATGCTGATGATGATGATGATGGTAATGAAGGTGATCCAAGGGCTGATGGCAATTTATATGACGGTTGTCCGCTGCCGTCATGCAGTGTCTTCAAGTTGCCGTTTGATATTTTTGATAAATCAATTGGCATTAATTTTTTAACTATCAGTTTGCTATCAGTTGGTGCACCAAAATAGCCATTTTTGACGATTATTATAAAAATTAAAAACTTGATAAACATTTTGTTTGTTTGTTTGTTTTTGCTTAATCTAATTGTTATTATTATTTTAATTTTTATAATTTATAAATAGAGGGTATAGAATATATTTTTTGAATTATTATTATTATTTTTGTTAAAAAAATTAAACAAACAAATAAATGCTATGTTGTTTGTATGACAAACTGGAAACTAATGTATTGGATGATTGTCATCACCCGACTAGTCGGTCACCGTTTGTGTGTCAAAAAAAAAAGTAATAATAATAATAATACTATAATAATATGTATCTTTGGCTTACAGTTTTGGCGTACTATAAGTTTTTTAAAAAAAGCATTCATTCACTTATATTTATATACTGTGTGTGCAGTAGTTTTTGTTTTTGATGGGTATGTTTTGTGCAGCCAATCAAACGGGTATTGGAGTTACTGAATGAAGTGGGAGTCGGCATATTATACCGTATATAATATATGATATGTATGTATGTGTCTGTAATGTGTATGTATGTGTATGTATGTGTATGTGTATGTATGTGTATGTATGTGTATGTAATGTGTGTATGTGTGTATGTATGTGTTTGTGTTTGTGTTTGTATGTGTATGTGTATGTGTATGTGTATGTGTATGTGTATGTGTATGTGTATGTGTGTGTATGTGTGTATGTATGTGTATGTGTGTATGTGTGTATGTATGTATGTATGTGTATGTGTATGTGTATGTGTATGTGTATGTGTATGTGTTTGTGTTTGTGTTTGTATGTGTGTGTATGTATGTGTGTGTATGTATGTGTGTGTATGTATGTGTGTGTATGTATGTGTGTGTATGTATGTGTGTGTATGTATGTGTGTGTGTATGTATGTGTGTGTGTATGTATGTGTGTGTGTATGTATGTGTGTGGGTATGTGAGTGTGTGTGCTTTTACACACACATGCATACACACACACACATGCACACAATGTATGTATTTATACGATTCTCTATAGAGATTCTGTACCTTAAAAATTCTGGAGCATTACTATTGATTCACTGAATTGTATGTTAAGTTTAGTTTAGTTTTTTCTGGATATTGATACTTATTTTTATGTTAAGAGTTGATATCTTTTTAAAAAAGCCTTATTTATAACAAGTTTTTTGTTGTCATCGTTGTTGTTGTTGAAAATCTTAGATATTATATAACTAAACACAAAAAAACTATATCATTAATTAGTGTTAAGTGAATCCGTTGTAATTATACTGCGATATAATATTTTATTGTAAGAGAATATATATATATATATATATATATATATATATATATATATACATTGAATTATATGTATATATTGTTTATTGATTTTTTATTATCAGTTTTTTATATTATTAATATTGATACTATATTATTATTATTATTATTATTATTATTATTATTTAGTATTTAATGTGTTTTATTAGGGTAGTATATATATATATATACAGATAGGGAGAATAAAGTTGAAGACGTTTTTGATGAATGATTTACAAAATATAGCAAATATTAGATATTATTTTTTTACTGAAAAATAATCTCCAAATATGTAAAATTGTGTGATAAAAATTATATTAATATACGATTTAAAATTTGGTTACAATTTACTTTCAAAGTTGAAATACACTTTTAGTGATTTTTAAACAATAATTAATATTAGTATTTAATAATAATATATTTTAAAACAAAAAAAGTTATAAAAATCATAATTCCTAATAATAAATGTAAACATTAGTTTAAAAAATTGCATAAAAGTTCTAAAATTCCAAGTCAAAAGACAAATCAAATAAGTTAAACATAACTCAAATAACTGAATTTAAATTAATAATTGTAATAATAATACATATAATTAAAAAATTAAAATTAAAAACAATTAATTAGTTCTAAAACTTAAAAATCCGCAGCAAAATTTTATAAAATTGCTTAAATTAATAAAGCAAAATCACATTAATATAAAAAATTATCAGCAATAAATAATTACATTAATTTACTCTAGTTAAAGTTGAGAAATAAATTATATTTTTCGCATTTTATACAGTCATGTTTAATGCATTAAAATTAAATTATAAAACAAAATTTTAATAAATATCTAAAAAACAAATATAGAAAATCTTGAAGATATACTCTATCTCATCATTGTTTAAGACTGTAAAGTTTTAGACAAAAATATTCATCATTAATTTATAGTATTTAATATTTTTTTAAAGATATCTTTAAATTAATAATATTATATTTATTTAGAGCATATTTAGTTATTTTTTTACTATTAATACAGATTTTAACTAAAATAATAACTTTATTGTCCATAGAGATTTTAAATGGTCAAAACGACTATTGCTTTTATTAAAAATTAATTTAATTTTTTAGCAAATGATGCCTTTAAGTTTTACTATGTCCCCAAAAAATATCAGTTTTTTAATATTTAAAATACTCGTTTAAACAAACAAAAATAACTAAAATAATTTTGGTTAAAAATGTCTAAAGGTATATCTCAACTTTAAAAGTAAATTGTAGCCAAATTTTTAATTAGATTTTAAAATATTTTATATAACAACAATTTTACATATTTGCAGATTATTTTTTAGTAAAAATCTTTTATCCAATATTTGCCATATCAAGCAAATCGTTCATCAAAAACGTCTTCAACTTTATTCTCCTCACCTGTATATATATATATAAATAAATCTTATAAACAATTTATCATAACAATAGTTTTCTATTGTTTATAATATTAGGTGTATATATATATAACTTTGATTCAATTGGAAATAAACCTTAAGACTAATTAATGATTGACAATAATATAAAAAAATATAAATACAAATAATAATAATAGTAACACTTTTGCTAAAATCTGCTAAAAGCTATGGAAAAATAGTGTATCAATAGTTTATTTATTTTATTTAGTGAATTGGCTACAAAAATACATGAATCATTAGTAGTTGAGTAAAAATAATACTAATATTTTTAGTTGTAATACAATAGTTGTTATCAAAATATTATACAATATATATATATATATATATAATTAATATAGCTTTAATAATAATAATAATAGTAATAATAATATAAAAAAATATGAGTAAATCAAATGCACGCCCACTTCATTCATGTTTTATTATTATTGTAAATATGATTTTTGTTTGACTTAATATTTTTTTCTCAATATACTATATTATACGGTATATATATAATTTAAAAACTTATTTTTTATTATTACTATTTTACAAATAATAATCGATTTTAAATCTAAATGATATATATATTCTAATATTTTTTACAATTTGTTTTCATCTTTTATATCTATTAAAAATATAATGTGTTTTTTTGTTGGTTGTTATTTTGTAATATTTTTTGTATTAATATTACCAGATATACAGTAGTGTTTTTTTATCAATATTATAAATTATGATTCTCTATGTAATCTCACTTTTTTTTATTAAAATTATTTTTTAAACACACACAAAAAAACATTTATATATTAATACATATAGTATTATTTAATATTCATCAATTCATGAATATATTAATATATATATATATATATATAAATATATATAAACTATTTTTTAATTTTTAAAAAGTAGTGTACTTGTATAAATAATGATATGTAGTGTTTATACTGTTATATATATATATATTTAAATGACATTTAAGTTTTTATCATAAGATCCAACAAAATAAATAAAAAATTAAATTTTTTATTTGTTTTTCTTTTAAATTTTAGTTTTTTTTATATGTACTGTATGTCTTATTTTTAGATTATATATATATATATATTAATATTTATAAAAATGATGTGTGATTTTATTTATTTATTTATTACAACCATTTATTATTATTATTATTATTATTATTTAGGCAAATACGTTGGCAGTAGACCTATAAAATTGCGTAAATCCGAGTGGAAAGAGAGGAGCTATGATGTGGTCAAGAAAAAGTTGAAGAATAAAGTGAAAATGGGTTATATTTGAATGGATCAGACCATCATCGATGACCATCAATGACCATCAATTTGATGGTCATTTTTGGTAGTTAAAAAATAATTATACGCAACAAACACAACAATACACACTCAAGTAGTATATTATTAACAATACATACGGTAGTTATAATTTTTATAACTACAGGTAATGATATTTATTATTACAGATTTTATTTTTGATCATTTTATATGTAATAATAAATTACCGTAAATTATATATATATAAAACATTTATAAGTATATATATAAACAATTTGTAATTTATATATACTGTATATATTTTTTTTGTTTGTTTTTTTTAAATTATGAATTTATTGTGAAACTGAAAACCTTTTCTTAACAATTCTACTAAAAGACTTATTTCTCGACATTATGTCATTGATGTCCAACTCTTCAATAAGTAATGATTTTTCTATTGTTTTCCAATATTTTTCTGGTAATAATTGATCCAATTCTTTACGATTAAGCCATTCGTAATCCAAACACAATTCATCGTTCGGTACAAACTCTCCCATCAGATGAATAGCTTTGTAGATGAAAATCTTTGCTCCTTTTAGTTGTAACCGATTGGTCACATCAGTGGGATATCTGTACGAATAGACAGCCGACGGACTATTGCCCATAAATTTCACATCAATTTCCTGTTGTTGTTGTCCCGTAAACTGTTTGAGCCCTCGTTCGGCCGTTTCGCGCATAGTTTCGCCATCCGTATGGATGGCCTGCGGTAGTAGCCATTGATCTGTTTGGCCGATTCGTTGTTTGCATACAAGCATTAGATGTTTATCCAGACACCTGTCCAACGATTTCCTATCGCTGGTCATATCGGCCTCTGAAACAACATACCAATCAATCAATCATTGATATCATTGTCTGATTTGTCGGATCTAACGATTATGATCTCTATCTCTCTTACGGGTAATTCTCGATGATTTCGTAAACTGGTCGTAGAGTTTGACATAAAACTCTTCAAAATCCTGAGCCGTTTGTTTGGCCGCTGCGTCCAAATCTTTTTCGTCCACTTTGTCGCCCGAAGCTATACGTTTGGCCCGCTCTCTGATCATCGCCGGGCGGGATATAACCACACATATAAATAAATAAATAAATCAGTTTTAAATCGGGTAATGATTATACAATCAAATCAAATCAAATCACTGGTCGGTTGGCTTACATATCGGCAAAATGTCTCATTTCGTGGTCACTCAATAGACTATTGTTCAGTTCAATGGTCTTCAATACGGTGTCCATCTTCTTCTCTAACCAATTCATTTCGGGTACAATCTGTGGCAATCGTTGAAGACATACTGCGGCCAACAGTTGCCAATCGCTGGCCAATCGTTTGCCACAACCGCCGCCGCTGCCAAACAAGTTGACCGCATGAACGGCAGTAACTGTTTTCCGTATCATCCGTACCGACGACGACATCGGCTTTAATATTGTATTCATTATTATTATTATTATAATAGTTATGTTGCAGTACTTGTAATCAATCAATTAATAATATGTTTGATAATTAATAAGTAATTTAATTATAACAAACAAACTGTAAATTTTAAATGTTTTTAATTTATTATTTTAATAATTTTTTTAAAGTAAAAATATATTCAATAAAATTTAATATTAAAAAATTTTTTTTTAATACTGTATTATGTATTAGTAAATAACGTTTACTAATAATAAACAAATAAATTTTTAATTATATCAAAACTTAAAAAAAACTTAATTTTTTTCAATTACAATCATTGGATCAATAATATAAATTTTTTAATAAACAAAAAATTAGCATGCTCAATTTTTATTTTGTTATTTATATAATAATAATTTTTAAAAATCTAAGCATGGTAAACTTGTTTTGTTATTTAACACATACCCCAGTGCTGGCATCTATAACATGGTTACCTAAATTTTAAACAGCTAGTGTTGGATCAACATTCCCAATGAGAGGATAGGAAGTTCCCTTAGAAAAATTCATCCAATTTTTCCAGAAAATATAAATATTTTACTTTCCCTCCCCCTTTAATTAATTAGAAATTTTTAAAAAATAATAACAAATTAAATAGTAATAAATAATACCAAAAAATATTTAGCACAACAACAACAACAAAAATATTGAAATATTTCAAAAATATATATTTCAATTTTATATATATATATATTTAGTTTTACTATTTATCTAAATACTATTTAAATACAAGTTTAGTATAATATTTGTTTTTTTATTAAAAAATAATATTATTATAAATTTAGAGGAAAATATGAAATAGATTTACTAGGAATTTAAGGGAACATAAGGAACTTATGGGTAATTTTTTTAAAACCAGGTAATGAATGAAACTTATCTAACCCTAGTTGTTGTGTTACATCACTAAAAAATTAGATTTTTTTTGGTGATAATAATAATTTGTTTGTTGAGCAGAAGTGGTCTAATGCCAGATAATAATCGTCATCGTCATCGACATCGACATCATTAACATCACTAATCATAAGAGAGTCTTCGAGAGAGAGAGAGAGAGAGAGAGAGAGAGAGAGAGAGAGAGAGAGAGACCTACAAAAACAACTCATATAATAATATTTTTTATGTTGTGTTGTGTGTGTGGCATAACATTGGCACTTATTATTTGTTAGTTAAAAACTTTTTTTAGGATTTATTTTAAAAAAAAAAAATTTGTTTTTACTGTTTTTGTTTGTTTTTTGTGTTGATCTCTCAGAAAAATCACATTTAAATTACACTTTAAATGGTAACGACTGTTGTTGTTATTGTCATCACACATATAATCAGTTTGGATCAGTTGTTAAACTTAATTGTAGTGTTTTAAAAAAAATTTGTGATGTGTTTGTGATGTTTTGTGAAAAAATAAAATAAAATAAACAATTGTCTACTTAAAAAAAACATATGTATATTTCAACACATAAATAATAATAATAATTACAATTAAATTGATTTATGGATATACAGTATATCACTTATTACTGTATATAATATATATATATATATGATATGTGTGTATGTAATTAATTTGTGTGATTATAATTAGCGCTACAAACACACACACACAAATTGATTTATGAATTTTTTTTGTTTTTTTTGTGTTACTATGTTATTATTATTATTATTAATAATAATTATTATTATATGATATATCATTGATTATATACTTTAATATAAATGACAAATATCTGGAAATATATATATATATATAACCCATTGGTTTTGTTTAAGTCATTATAACTATGTGTATGTGTTTATTGATTGAAGTTTTGCCAACAAATATTGTATTTTTTTAATAAATAATTTAAAGTGAAAAAAAACTTTGTGTCAATTATATATATATATATATATATATATACAGTGATTGTAATATATTGTAAGTGTTTAAAAAAGCTATTTATTTGAAATAAATCAATTTATATTTATATTATCTTATTATTGGTATTTAATTACAATTTATTATTAATATTATTTATTTATTTATTTAACTTTATAAATATACATTATCATTGTCATAGTTATCGAAAATAGTTTCATTAAAATAGTTTGTTTTTTTTAAATATATATGTTTTTGTAATATGATATATATAATAGTACTTTGGATTTAAATATATATTTTTTAAGTAAAGTATTATACTGTATTTAAAACTATATTTATAGATCAATGATAATAATAATAATAATAATAAGTTTTATACAAATTAACCAACAAATATGTTTGATAATAAACTATAAATAATATTTGAATACTTTAAATATTTAATGTTTTAATCATTCAATTATATGCTATATATATTTTTTGTTTAATTAAGAAATTATGCGAAAAATGTAAATATTAGTTATTTATTATTATATATTATTAATAATAATCATATTTTCATTGCAATTATGAATATAATATATGAATCCACAAAATATGTATTAAGTATTTGATGGTTAAAAATAGTTTTTGGTTAGGGATGTAATTAAAAAAAAAAGATATGATGCCTTCAATTAAAATGGTTTAAAAAAAATTTAAAAAAAAAATAATTTTAGCTGCACTTCAAAGTTAATCCTAAAAATAAATGTCTATATGTCTTACACATAGATAATGTAATGAATAATGAAATAATGCATTTTTTATAAATAATTTTTTAATACAAAACTTTTAATACAGTATATGAAAATAAATGTTTTATTTATGTATGTATGTATGTGTGTGTGTGTGTGTGTGTGAAACTTAAGTAACTTTAACCTAAATTATATATATATAAGTATATATATATATACAGTTAGAAAACATTGAAAAAATGACACGGATTTTATGGGCGCCTATGAATAATAATAATAATAATAATAATAATAATAATAATGCAATGTTTTTGTTGTTATTGTAATTGAATGCATGAATTCATTGGCAAACAACTATAGAGAGAAAACATTTTTAAAAAAAAATAAAATATTTTTTTTGCCAAATAATTTCCACCAAAAAAAATATATATATATACAGAATATTTATATACAGAATATATATATACTGTATATAAGTTTAATTATAAAAACATTTATTATTATTATTATTATTATGGACTATGATATGATCAAACAATTTTTAGTTTAGTTTAGTGACCACTAGTTATAAATTATAATATGATATGATATCCAAAGGTCAAAGTTAATGTTAGTTTTTTCAATAAAAACTAATATTATTTTTATAGACGCATGCGTTTACATACAGTGTGTATGTAATGTATAATTATTTACTGATATTTACAGTACTATTACAGTACACATTAAATACTGTATTAAACAGTACTGTAATAATAGTCAACCAAATAGTGTACATAAAAACACATGTATTTCTAATGTTTGGCGCATTTTATTTCATACATTAGTTTTGTATTATTATTATTAGGACATGAATTTGAAAAACGGATTAAAATATTTATTTTTTTTAATTTAAAAATTTGTTTAAACTAATCATTTGATTGATTGATTTTTTTGTTGACCAATGGATTAGTCAATAGATATAACTATAAACCCTATAATAATATAATAATAATAATAAACACATTGTATATATCAAAACCACACATGTGTTTATGTGACCAAACATTTTGATTGATTGTTAAGAGAGATAACGACAATCATATCATACCATCTCATCATAACTTTGATATTAATTACAGTGATATCCAATACAGTGATTAACCGCCGCCGATGATGATGATGGCCGACGACAACAGTAACGGCAAAGACAACGACAACAACGCCAATAGCGAAGACTATGTTTGCGAAGAACTGATCAACGGTTTCGACGCCTATGCCGGACATCTGAAAGATCTGATCAAAGGTTTACGACTGAAGATCAAACAGCTGACCGAAGAATTGGATGAACTGACACGTAAAGTGTCCACTGATAGCGGTGGTAGTGGTGGTGGTGGTAACGATAATACCGAAGTTATTGATCAGTTGCTAAAGACATCCAGTTTATTGGCCGAAGAAAATGAAGAACTGAAATTGGAAAAAGAGACGATGGCTTTGGAATTGAATTCAATGGAAAATGAAGTCCATTCGCTCAATCAGGACAAGGATATGATGAGCAAAGAGTTGCGAGAAGTTAGACATGAAAACGATTTACTTATACAACAGATGCAAAAGTTAACACAAGAGCTGAACAATGAAAAAAAACTGATTAAACAGTACAACGATTTGGCCAAAAGTATATTTGCCAGCAATAGTAACAATAACTTCAACAACAATCACATGTAAGTCATCATTGGATCAATTGGATGGACACTAATGTTCACCAATTGATTTACTTTACTGTTTTATTTTTTAAAGATAATAATAGTTTAATTGATCCGTATTTTTACTCTTATCGTAAAAACCAATTTACCCGATAATCACCACAAAAAAAATATATGATATATAATAGTGTCAACTCATTGCCGGCTTTTAGCGAACAAATGGTTTTGAGTCAGCGGCCGAATTCGGTGACCACTTTCGGTTCGTTTTCGCAATGCAATGGCGGTCTGCGGCTACAGTCGTCTCAGTCGCACGAAGACGACGAAGAAACCTATCACAGCGCCCGACGGCAATTGGCTAATCAGGCGAGCAAAGAGACGGCCAGCGATGAAACCTTTTACGATGCAAAGACATCGAACAGTCATCGATCGTCACTGACGACTACGGCGGCGACGACCACCAAACCACAAGTACCGCCGACTAACGAACAAACTGTACCAACAGAATCTGGTCATCATAATCATCAACAACAACAACATCGGGAGCCGATCACCGCCGCGACCGGTGGTAACGAACACGACGAATCATTTACATTAACCACTACAACAACAACTACTACATCCAATTCATTTGAAATGGACGACAACGACAATCTGAAGCTACTGCTGGTCAAAGTACCCTACAATCGATTGGTTGCCGTATCCGTAGCCTATGCTGTTTCGCCGTCCGATTTCTATTTGCACATCAATCCCGACGATGTCTACAACTATATACATGTCATACAACTCAAACAGGTCGAGTTGGCTGATAAACCCAACTCGAGGCTAACACCGGCCGACATTGTACTCGGTATGTACTGTTCGGCAATCTATTCGGCCGACGGTAACTGGTATAGGGCACAGATTACGTCCGTCCAATACGAAAACGATGTCGAACGGGATTCAATTAAGTCGCTAACCGTCCATTTTATTGATTGGGGAAACTCGGAGGAAGTACCGCTATCACGGGTCATGCGTCTATCGCGTGACCTAAACAAACGTAAACAAGCGATTCATTGCTATATCCAAGGACTCGCTTACGAAGATATCCGATGGTCGTCCAAACGATGCAAAGAATTTCGCGATTTACTCGAAAAAAACGGTAACAACAATCGACTGAGCGGTTCATTTCAAAAGGGCCAGAAAGTTGACGAACAATTGGATAGTTTTATATATCCAGTCGATCTGGTCATTCTGGACGACGACGGAAAATCGCATAATTTAGTTAATTTAATGAAGTTTACCTCAGCCGAGGAGGAGGATGAGGACAAAGATGAAGCCACCAATAATGTGGACAACAACACCACTGTAGTCGATACCGCTGCCGACAATCGGCTCAATGGTGGAGCAGTTGATCCTATTTTGACGCCAAACAAATTAAAGAGTAATCAACAACAACCACAACAGCTGATGAAAGTACCGAAACTATTGTCACAGTTGCGACCGCCCGGCCGTAGCGATTGTATACAAGTACCGCCGCCAATAATACCGGATATATCGGACGGCTTAATCGTTGAGTGTATGTTTCCGATAAATCCATCACAATTTTATACACATATAAATCATGTGGATGTCGGTAGAGCTCAGTGGGAGGATCTGGAGGAGCAGCTAAACAACTGCTACAATAAGTCATCTCTACTGATGACTCAGTTAACCCAACCGTCTCAAGTGGACATCGGTTCGTTTTGGGTGTGTTGTTGGGCTGACGATAGTCAATGGTATAGGTGTCGTATTGTCGATGTCAAAGGCCAGGAAGCGTTGATCTATTATGTCGACTACGGCAACAAAGAATGGGTTAAGTGTAGCGATCTTAAGCCACTTACCCGACAGTTTGCCACATATCCGGCACTGGCCGTCAAATGTTGTCTATCAAATGTTTTACCCCTGAATAACAATGACTGGTCGGATGATAGTATTGATTATTTTAAGGAAACAATTGCCGACAAACCGTTGACAGCATTTGTTGCCAATAAACCCGAAAAATTTGATTTCGATTCAACGCTCAGTGTATTCTTGTGGACAACAGATGATTCGGATGACGAATCCAAAGAGATATTAGTTAATTCGCATTTAGTGATCAACAAGTTTGCCGCCACTGATAATAGTGAATGGATTGAAGAAACCCAGAGAGCCTTCAGAGAGCTGACACCACCACAAGTGATGAACGAATTGATTCCCAAACTTAATAGTAGTTTCACTACTACTACTACTACTACTACTAATAATAATAATAATAATAATAATGACAGTGTAATTGAATGTACACCTAATGGATTAGTGGCTGTCAATGGCCAGAGCGAACCTGTAGCCGCGGCAGCGGCCAAACTGGTCAATGGTCAAACCAAATTGAACGGTGATATGATTGAGCCAAATATTATCGACGGCGGCAGCAGTGCTGGCGGCGAAACTTCTGCAGCAGCAGCTGCGGCAGCTAACTGTCCAACGAGTTGTGGCGGCGACGAAGTTACCGATGTTGATAATTTGGGACATAACAAAACAAATGGTGATAATAATAATAATGGCGCCATTGAATGGCCTAAAGTAAACGGCCACAACGGTCTGGCCAATGCTGGTCTTCGAATATTACCCGAAATGGAAAGCGAATTTTCCGACGATAACGATTGGGATCCTATGTTTGATGGCGATATAGGCGGCGGCAGCGGCGGCTACAACAACATCAACAACAATGACTATTCAATGAATCCATACGATCCTCGAGTTATGACTCTGGGCTATAGTAAGCATTTATTATACATTTTATTAATTTATATAAGTTGTATAAGTATTAATAAGTTATCAATTAATCAAATTTTTTTTTATTTATTGAATTAAATTTTTTTAAAAAAAAGGATTAAAAGATCGCAAGACATGTAAATTTTATGGCACCCGAAAAGGTTGCAGACATGACCAGTATTGCGAGTTTCTTCACGTAGATCCCGACAAACGTAAGATTTAATTTTATTTATTTATTTAAAATAAAATTAATTTTAGATTTATTATTATAACCTTAACGTAGTTTTATTTATATACTGTATATTTGTTGCTTAATTAACACATTTTTTGTTTGTTTGTATTTCTCATTATGTTTTTGTTATTAATTGGTGTTAAGGTTTCGATTGTAATGAAGCCGAAGAGGAAGTCCTAAAAATAGCCGACACTGAACTAGAAGAGAATACATCGGTAGTATTGCGTATAACATCCATACAGAGTCCCTGTTCTTTCTATGGTGTCCTACCATTTGGTCCCTACGATATCAATCAACTCGATGTTAATGAACAAAATGCTAAACAATTTGACGAACCAAAGAAAATATCGACAGAACTTAAGTAATTAACTAAATAATAATAATTACCGTATATTTTGTTTGTTTATCATAAATTATCCGCCGGCGGTTGGGGGGGCCGGGGACGCCAATCATACATATTAATACTCACCTTCCAACCCCCAACCCAGCCCTCATTTTACTCCCCATTAGTGGTTTTAAGGAAAATATCTTGACTACAATGTCTTGACTTAAAATTTTTATCTAATTTTTAGAAATGGCGAATTATTTGGTCATTTACGGTAGTATTGTTTTAAATTAATTAATTAATTATACAACACATATACAACTAATACAATATAATTAGTTTCGAAAGTGTAATAAAAAAAATTATAATTAATTTTTCTCCCTTTATTTTGCAGACGATATTACGATAAACAGGCAAAACAAGAAAATCCAAACATCTATCTGGGAATCGGTAGTCTAGTGGCCTATAAAAAGATAATCGAAAGCCCGGCCGATAATAAAACCGGTACCGTCTACTGTAGGGCACGGGTTATCAGCGAAGATCCGGAAAATACTGGTCTATGCGAACTATTCAATATAGATTTCGGTACCAATTGTACTGTCCATCGAAAATACATCTACAAATTGGTGCCGTATTTCTATCAATTTCCCGCACTGGCCATACATTGTACGCTGACTGGCATCGAACCCTACCAATCATCGAAAACGTGGACAGAGGAGGCCGTGTATGTGTTGTTGTTATTATTATTGATATATATATATCTGAAAATTTATTGCTGAAAAACTTTTATTATTATTATTAATTTAATTATATTAGCAATACGTTTGCTCAATGGACCCTCGATAAAAATCTAGTTGCTTATATTATGTACGGGTAATTACAACATTTTGTTATTTTTTTGGATCAATTAATTACAATTTACTTTTACAATTAACTTATATTTTGTTTTTTTGTTGTTGTTTATTATTTTATTTACCGGTAATAGACGTACTGAAGACAAGTATTCTGTAGAACTGCTCGAACTAATCGATGGCAAAGAAGTATTTATAAGTCAACGACTAATTGATGGACAATTTGCTCAGAAATGTAAAATCTATGGCCATTTAGGACAAGAACAACAACAACCACACGGATCTGATGAATATGTTTACAAATCTGATTAGAAATACATAATCTTATTGATTCATTTGATCACAAATGTATTTTTCTAAATCTATATATATATATATTTGATTTAATTGTATAGTAATAATATAGTTTATTTGATTTATAAATATAGTTTAGATATTGACATAAAACAAAATAGTAATAATAATAATAATATCATTTTAAAAAAATAATACATATATACTCATTCATACACTTAATATGTAAATAACAATTATTATTATCTCTTTGACTGTGAATTATTATTATTATTATTACTTTTAGCAAATTTATTTTGTTAGCCTAATAATAATAATTAATTATATATATATATATCTACATATATAATTTAAAAAATACTTATTTTGACATTTTTTTTATTATAAAATTGTAATTTTTTTTTGTTTATTTCATTCATCTATGATCTCATAATCATTGAAATAATTATTTTTGTTTATTAGATGTTTTTTTAGATGAAATCTTAATATTTGGACATTTAGTGAATTTTTTTTTGTTTATATATATAAATATATATATAAATTGCATTTTAATTGAAAATCAATAAAATATGATTTTGTTTTTTTTAAATAAATAAAATGTTAATATCATAGACTTTATTGGTGTGTTTATGTGTTTTGTTAAAGTTATTTGTGTTGATGACAAAAAAAAATGTGCCAAAAAATACTGTATATATATATATATACTGTTGGAAATAATTGTGAATTATTTTTTTGATTAAACAAAATTAACTTTTGATTTAATCAGCATTTTTTTTGTTGATAACATTAGCTATAAATAACTTGTTTTTTGTGTACAGATAAATGAATTGTTAATTACATATACATATGATATACTGTATATATATATATATATATATATATATATATATTCAGTGATCTAAACCTTGAATTTTAAAAATAGATGAAAAATTTGGATTAAGATATTTTTATTGAATTTGTTTTGTATTAAAGTATTGTTTTAATAATTAAAATTAGATTTTATATGATATTTGACATTCAAATTCAAATTTTGTTTATTTTCTATCGGATTTTTTTCGACTAATTTTTTTGCAAAATATTTTCTCAATTAAAGTTTTAATTACTAATAAATTAAAATTTAATTAATTAATTATTATTATATTTTTAATGATAATTATAATTAATAGAAATTATTTTAATTTTAAGTTTTAAATTTAATCAATTAAATGGATTTTAATTTAATTTACTAAATGTAATATACAAATTAGATTTGATTTATATGTAAAATAAAATTTTTAAGTATTGCATATACAGTATATGCATATAAATAAATATAATGGTTTGAAAATAATTTGCATAATAAATAGTCAACATTGTTAGTTAACTCAACAATATTATTTATTAGTGAAACTTAAACAATAATTTTTGGCAAAAAAAATAATTAAATAATTTATAGATTAAAACTATTTTATTTATTTATTTATTTTTGTTTAATACAATTAATACGATAAATTATATTATTTATAGATGTATTTATTATTTGCTTATTATTATTATTATTAGTTTTTTTGATAATTTTTTTTAAAAATATACACACAATGAGAAATCCGGCAAAAATTATTTGTTTAAAATCTCCTGTTTTATAATAAAAAATACTGTATTATACAGTATATTATATTTATATCAATATATATACTATGTGTGTGTATATATATAGAGGGTATTTGAATAACCGATAAAATAAGTGATAAGTTTGCAAAATTTTTGTTTGTTTGTTGGTTACTATTATATATTATATTTGATCATCTATTTTGTCGACTAAACACTTAAAAACACTGTATGTCTATGAATTTGATGTCTTTATCCATACATTTCAAAAAATAAAGTTATATTGTATTTACAGTATATATATGCTTATAAATGCTGAATATTTATGTGTAAATGTTTTTTTTTTTTAAAAATATTTGGGTTTTTTAAAATTTTTTGTTGTTGATTGTATTTATCAATAAAATACTATACAGTATTCATTCAACAATAACCAGGAAATATAAATAATATTTAATAAAAAAATATTACATTTAATAAATAATTTTATTTTAAAGGATGTATTATTTAAAATTTGTTTAAAAAAAATAAATTCATATATTAATAGATAGGTCTATAATTAAACATTATTATTATTATAAATGACTAAAATTATTAAATAAAAATTTATACACGTTTAATCCACACAAAAAAATAATTAATAAATAATTATTAAACAATATTTAATTATTTTACTTTTAATGGCTTAATTAATTAGTGGTGATTTTATATTATTATTAATAATAATATTAATAGACATAACATACTGCATGTATATACAGTATTCAAACAAGGTCATACAAATATTTTACAATAAGCAGTGCAATGATATAAATATTTTTCGGGGTTATGAGTTGAAAGTGTTGCCAAAAATACTTAACATTAATGTAGCATCACTTTGGGGGGGGGGGGAGGGAGGGATCACTTTTAGTTTCAATGAAAGAGAGAGAGAGAGAGAGAGAGAGAGAGAGAGAGATTGAAAGAGAGAGAGAGAGACGTCTCAATTTAAAAAGAAAAAAAACTGTTTATTGGTTTTTGCAAAAATACTTCAAAAAAAGATTAGTTAACTTAAATAGCTATATATTATAATACTGTATATTAAATACAATATATATATATATATATATATGGTATAATTTATACTGTGTGTGTATATATATATATATTAATATATTATATTATGTCATACTTTAAAAATTTTGGTTTCACTATAAACAGTATATGTAATGTTGTTTTCCTAAACTAAATAATAATATGTAAGTTATAATAACAGTATTATTATGATTATAGACTAGGATTCTGTATAATGAATAATATTAAAAATAATCTAAATATTTAATAGAAATTTTTCAACAATTTTTCACATATGAAAAATATACAATTCATTAGAGATTCTGGTATTTTTAAAATTATAGCAAAATTTTTGTAAAAATTAGTGTTATTTACTAATAATAATTTGACATATTTTGGTTTAAACTAATTAATGTGTAGTTTTATAATAAGCATATGTTTTTTAATAAGTTTATTTATAGAAACTTTTTTTTATCTTATTATAATTTAATTAATTTTCAAAAATTTAAATATTTTCAACAAAATTTAAAGTACAGTATTATTAAGTATTATTAAGTGATTTACAATAATAATACTAATAATAATTACAAATTTTTGTACATTTTTTTAATAAATTAATATAATTTATTTATATTAAATTAATAATATTATATACAGTATATCACTATTTTTTTGGGGACAATTATGTCGCAAACTTTTGACAAAACTACTAATGATTATAAAATTAATATTAATAATACCAATAATAAAGTGAAATCAAATAATAATAATAATAATAATAATCAAAATGATTATTATATTGAAAATTACAAAAAACTGATGGATTCTTCGTCGTTGTCGTCGTCGTCATCGGACAAAGATATGAATCGTACGGATCAAGTAATAGGTATTAAGTTATCGTCAGAATCGGTACTTGAATCGGTTGCACGTATTAAACGTACGGATCAACGATTAATGACAAAATGTATGACTCAGCCGATAAAATCGGATGTCTATCGGATTGCTTTTGACAGCCAATTGATTGATGATAACGACGACAACGACAACGATGATGAAGGCGACGATGACTCTTGCGATAGCTGTTCCAGCGATGATAGCTTTAGCAAACATATGATGAACAACAGTTACAACAATAATAATAATGATAATTGCATTTCGCTAGTTGTCGCCGACAATGACAACAATAATCATCATCAGATGATAATGACTAATGATAGCACACAAGAGTTGTTGTCAGTAACACCATCATCGACGATAACCACTACTACCAGCAGCACTGGTAGCTCTAGTAATAGACAATTGTTTGGCAAAATTATTAATGAACATAACGTACAACTATTGACAGCAGGAGAAGCAGCAGCAGCAGCCTCTTCCAGTAGGCCTGTCTATAGCAGATCCCATAGTAAACTGAAATCATCATCACCAGCACAACAGCAGCAGCACCTGTATGTCAATCAATTATCATTGGCTGATGAGGTTGCCATTGTTAACAATAATAATCAAAATCATAATACTAGTGATGGTGGTAATCAATCCGATTATATAATCATTGATCATCCATTTATCATCACTAAGAATCAAATGGCTAATCAAACAACAGATGATGACATCCATAATAATAAT